ATTCACAAAGATGACAGTGAGTTAGCAAAAAAAAATTTAATCATGCTTTGGGTTATATGTCATAATGTATATACACTTTGGTCCCAAATAGTTAACACTTAAGACGATATTTTATTTAAGATTAATACTCTAGCTATCTGAAAAATTCAGCTACACAATTTAATTCTGAACTTTGTTATCTATACCATGTACATACACCCATAAACAAATTCATATACATTTAAAAAATCATGTTTACTATAAACAGAATAAAAATACAAAGTGTGAAATGTTGGAAGTAAAAAGGCCTGTAATCCAGAGATGTACCCTGTAAAGAATTTGACAGATTCCAGACTTAACATACATCTATAAATGTATTATTGTTTTTATAAATGAATCAGATTGCAATTATACCCACCCTTGCACAAATGTGTTCACTTGAAAACACATCACAGAGAGCGTTCCATGTCAGCACATACAGATCTATTTTCATTCCTTTTAACTGTTGTACTGTATTCCATAGTATGAATATACCATCACATACTTAAAGAATTCCCTGTAGGACATTTGGGGCTGTTTCCTCAGGGTGTTATACTGTCTTTTTAAAAATCTGTGTCTGATAATGGCTCTTCTCATTTATTAATGAAATTGATCATATTAAAAAAGAAAGACCTCAAATCAACAGCCTAAACCTACAGTTTGAGGAACTAGAAAGTGAAGAACAAACTAAGCCTGAATCTACCAGAAGAAAGGAAATAACAAAGATCAGAGCAGAAATAGATAAAATAGAAAACAGGGGGAAAAAAAAAAATAGAATCAACAAAATCAAAAGTTGGCTCTTTGAAGATCAATAAAAGTTACAAACCTTTAGCTAGACAGACAAGAAAAAAAGAGAAAAGATGCAAATAGCCAAAATAAGAAATGAAAGCGGAGACATTACAACTGACCCAACAGAAATAAAGAGAATTAGGATAGAACGCTACGGAAAACTGTACAGCAACAAACCAGACATCCTAGACGAAATGGGCAATTCTTAGAAGCACACAATCCGCCCAAACTAACTCAAGAGGACACAGAAAATCTCAACAGACCCGTAACAAGTGAAGAGATCGAATCAGTGATCAAAAACCTCACAACAAAAAAATGTCCTGGACCAGGTGGCTCCCCTGGGGAATTCTACCAAACATTTAGAGAAGAACTGATGTCAGTCCTGTTTAAACTCTTCCAAAAGATAGAGAAGGAAGGAATACTCCTGAGTTCATTCTGTGAGGCAAACATAACCCTGATACCCAAACAACGCACCACAAGAAAACTACAGGCCAATATCCCTTATGAACACAGATGCAAAAATCTTCAACAAAATACTAGCGAACAGAATCCAACAGCATATTAAAAGAGTCATACTATGACCAACAGGGTTTTATTCCAGAAATGCAGAGATGGTTCAATATTAGAAAACCAATCAACGTAATACACATCAACAGAAGAAAGGAAAAGAAACATGATCATCTCTATGAATGCAGAAAAATCATTTGATAAAATCCAACACTCTTTTCTTGATGAAAACCCTCAAGAAGACTGGAATAGAAGGGTAATTCTTCAATATGACTCAGGGCATACATGAAAAGCCAACAGCCTACATTATACTTAATGGAGAAAGATCAAACATTTTCCTCTTGAAATCGGGAACAAGACAAGGATGCTCTCACCACTTCAATTTAATAATGTATTAAAAATGCTAGCCAGAGCAATAAGACAAGAAATAAATGGTATCCAGACTGGAAAAAAAGAAGTAAAATTATCTCTACTCACGGATGAAATGATCCAATATATAGAAAATCACAAAGGGTCCACTAGAAAACTTCTAGCACTAATAGAGGAATTTAGCAAAGTTGCAGGGTACAAGGTCAACAAACAAAAATCAGTTGGGTTTCTATACACCAGCAATGAGAAATGTAGAAAGGAAATTAGGGAAACAATTCCATTTACAATAGCATCTAAGAGAATAAAATATCTACCAATAAATTTAACCAGGGATGTGAAGGACTTACACAATGACAATCATAAAATACTGCTGAAAAAGATTAAAGATGACTTAAATAAATAGAAGATGTTCCATGTTTGTGGACTGGAAGACTTAAATGTCAATATTATCTATAGCGATCTATAGATTCAATGCAATCATGATCAAAATTCCAACGGCCTTCTTTACAGAAATGGAAAAACCAATCTTCAACTTTATATGGAATGGCAAGAGACCCTGAATAACAAAGAATGTTGAAAGAGAATAAAGTAGGAGGATTCACACTTCCGATTTTAAAACATATTATACATGGGCCTAATAATATGCTTAGTGCTTCTGTTCTACCTCCTAGTTTGCTGTGTAGTGCCTGGTTCTTTAAAGTCTGTAAGCGGTCATTCAAGGTACAACAATTGGTCTCTATTCACCTGGAGCAACAGAGGAAGAAGGAGAGTCAGGAAGAGAAGGAAATGGAATTTGTGACTACCTGCCTCCATGAACAGCTGCCTCCTTTTGCCATGAGAGCAGAAGAACTGGGTGGTGCCTGGCTACCATGACTGAACATTTTGATGAAAGATTCTATAGAATAATCCTGACCAAAAGGGGGAAAAACTCAGAACAGAATTCAGTATCTCATGAACTCCAGACTTTCTGGAGCCACAGATGCTGGATGAACCCTGAAACTACTATCCTGAGATAACTTTTAAACCTTAAACCAAAAATATCCCCTGAAGTCTTCTTAAAACCAAACAATAGTTTAGCTTAACTAGTAAAGAATGTCTGCCTTGAGCACTATGCTCTTTTAAGAGCTATTATATTGGATTGAGGGGCATGGTGGCACAGTGGTTAAGTGCTTGGCTGCCAACCTAAAGGTTGGTGGTTCAAACATCAAATTGGCAACAGTAACTCAAAAGATTACATAGGAAATTTAGGGAGCAGAGAGTTTACGTTAATGAGGGAGGGACAACTTGGAAAAGGAGGGTGAGAATGGTTGTACAACTCAAAGAACGTAATCACTGTCACTGAACTATACATGTAGAAACTGCTGAATTGGTGTATTTTTGCTGTGTATATTCTCAACAGCAAAAATAAATCATGTAAAACAAATGAAAATAAAAAGAAACAACATACTGAGAACCATCTTTGTATATGGAATATCACATAGATACGTTAAACTCTAAAGGCTTTAAATCTGTATTCACAAGTAAAATTCGTGTGTAGTTTTTTTTAATAGTACTTCTTCTTAAAGCATTACATATGTATAATCAGAAGATAAGCTCATGGTGGCGAAGCTTCCACTCTCTCCCGAAACCTCCGTATACTGAAAGTAGTTTTAAAAGGTATATACCAACAAAGACCAAAACAAACACACACACACACCAGCAGGAGAGGAGAAAATAGCAGATAAAAGCTGTCAAAACATTTGTGGAAGAGAAAAATCAGAGACAAGGTAATTCATTTAGCAGAGGAGGATGCCAAGAACGAAGTACTTGCAGGGGGAGAGAGAAATGGGAAACAAATGAGAACCAAACTGATTTGCCCTAAAGAACCCCAGGAAAGACCAAGAAGTAAACACACCAGACACTGGGGGAGGGCAGGAAGACACAGGGATGTCAGTAAGACAGACAACTGGGTTCTCCCTCCTACCCTCTATGACGGCCAGGAGGTTCCTGCTCCACCAGCACCGTCCACCACCAACCGACTACAGAAAATGAACCAGAAAGACTCTGCAGTGCGGGACCTCAGATATAGTAAAGGGCAGGCAAGGGGCCAGGTGGAAAAGAAATACAATCCTAAGAATAAATTTAAATTCTGCATACTGAGCAGAGACCCCCTTGCCCCCATCCCAGGCTGTCTACCCTGTCCAGGTTTTCAGAGCACCAACAGCCAAGCTTATTCAGCCTAGCTGCTCCCGAAACGTCTAAACTAGACGGCTGAACAGGAAAAAAACTACAGACAGCTAAAATCCCTGAAAAAGGCAGAGCACTGCTCTAGTCTGCTACATAAAGGCCACATCGATAGGCCCTGCTCATTCTGTTTTTTAACTGCTTCATTTTTTTTACTGAGACACAATTCACAAGCTGTAAAATTCACCTTTTTTAAGTGCACAATTCAGTGGCTTTTAGTATACTCACAAAGTGGTATAACTCACCACTACCTACTAATCCCAGAACATGTTCATCACCCTTCCCCAAAGAAAGATGCTGTACCCAAACCTCGTACCCATTAGCAGTCATTCCCCATTCCTCCCTCCAGCTCCTGGCAACCATTAATCTACTTTGTTTCTATGGATTTGCTTATTCCAGACACAAATGGAATCATAAAATACAAGACCTTCTGTGTCTCGCTTTTTTCACTTAGCATGTTTTTAAGGTTCATGTATGTTATAACATGTATCAGTACTTCATTCCTTTCTATGGCCGAGTACTGTTCCTTTGTATAGATGTACCACATTTTATTTATCCATTCATCCAGTGATGGACACTTAGGGTTTCTCCACTTTTTGGCTATTACAGATAATACTATTAACATTCATGTACAAGTTTTGCTTTCAATTCTCCTGGGAGTGAAATTGCTAGGTCACATGGTAACTCAGATGTTTAACTTTTTGGAGAACTGCCAGACTGTATTCCAAAGTGGCTGCACCATGTTACATTTCTACCAGCAAGGTACGGATGTTCCAATTTCCCCACGTCCTTGTAACATTCGCTATGGCTTGCTTTCTGATTACAGCAACCCTAGTGGGTGTGAAGCAGTAACTCATTGTGGTTTTGATTTGCATTTCTTCTTTGGAGAAACGTCTATTCAAGTCCTTTGCCCGTTTTTAAATTGGGTTATCGTTATGAGTTATTTATATATTCTAGATATCAGTCCCTTATCAGATATATGATTTATAAATATTCTCTCGCATTCTGTAGGGTTTTCTTTTCACTTTCTTGATAGTGTCCTTTGAAGCACAATTTTTAAAAACATTTCCATGAAGCCCAATTTATCTTTTTTTTTTTCTTTTGTTGGTTGTGCTTTGCCGTCTTAGAATCGCTGCCTAATCCAACGTCAGGAAGATTCACAACTGTTTTCATCCATTTTGAGTTAAATTCTGTATATGATGTGAGACAGGAATCCAACATCATTCTGCTGCGTGTAGGACATCCAGCTGGCCTAGCACTGCCTGTTGAAATGGCTATTCATTCTTCGTTCTTGGCACCCTTGTTGAAAACCTGCCTCATTTTTTAATATGAAAGAAAATCTAAAGCTCACTATGACACTTGAAGGTGTCCATTATGAAAGAAGGGGTCAAACCAATGGTAACAACAAAAACCCACGCAAAGACTACAACACTGTTTTTAAAAACCAACCAACCAATAAACTGACAAATTACAACCAAGCAGAGCTGGAGTACGGAAGGAAGTTTCAAAATTTGGCAACTGTAATGCATTATGTTAATAAAGCTAAGAATCATTCCTTAATCAAAGAAATAAGGACTAGGTAGATCGCCCCTAAACACGATTTTTGGTGACTTTTAAAAAATCACAGGAAAAAGTGACAGGTTTTCCAGCTAATTCCCAACTGTTACAGCTTTCACTTCTTTATCTCTCCTGACTGCCTTGGCCAATACCCCAGAGCAATGGTTCAACAGCAACAGGAAGGTGGCAGGCTGTCTTTAGAGGGAATATTTCTAATACCCTCACAGAGCTAGCTTTCAGCATGAGACATATGTATCATTTTAAGAAATTATGCATTTATTCCTATTTTACTGAGTGGTTATATTTAGAAATAATTACCAAAATTATGATGAGCATTCTACACAGAAATACACATGGGAAATAACATATGCAGAAGGTCATGGACTATGACAAAGATTATAACCGCAAAAAACTGGAAAAAACGTCCATGTCCATCAGTAGGGCTAGTTATAAATTAAAGGTTATTCTTACACTGTAATACTATGCAAAAAGATTTTTATGTCCTGATATGGAAAGCGTGCCAGAATAAATTTTAGAGAAAAAGATGCAGGGTTTTCTTTGGTGAATATGCGGCAAAAGAAGTGTTTATTTTAAGCATCCGCTGATCTCATTCAGACCTTCTAAGTATTTTTTTCTCCTAGTAAACGCACATGTTTTCCACCTATACAACTAAAGTAGTATTTTGCATCTTTACAGCATGCTCATCTTTTAAAAAGTATTTCTGGTAGCACATTAGAGCTTTAGGATGCCTTGCAAAGGAAAACAAAGGCGAACAAGTTCCCACCTGGTCTATTTAATTTTCTTTAGAACCAATCAAGTTGACCGAAGTAATCCAAACTGATGGTGAAGCTGATAAACTAAAAGGCCACTGGCTAGGAAGAGCTTTCCACCACGGAGAAACGGAGAAACGCAGCTGGTTTGTGGACGACGACTTAGAGTCAATCAGATCAGTGCTCCCCTTCTGTGAACCCCATCTTGCCGAATTTCAAACGCTGTTACAGTGTGAGCAAGTACTTTGTTTTCCAAGAAACACCGGTTTTCTCTCCACTCTCCCAAAAGATGCAGAACAGATGCATTCAAGTTTCTATTAGTGTCAAAAAGGGTGAAAAATGTGCTTCTGTTTGTACTTGATTCTGCTCATTCTTAATAAAGTATCTGTAAGGATAATAAAATAAAAACTCAAGGGAACACCCCAGAAAAGAGAACAAGGAGACAATGAAATGAGTAACAGGAGAGAAAAATTATAAAAATTGTCAGATCACTCCAGAAGGCCCAACATCCAAAGAGTAAGTTATAGAAAAAGAGCATAAACTTTCCCCAAACTAAAAGATATAACTATTTAGCTGAGAATGACCAAAAGCATATCATCATAAAATTTCAGAATACAGAGATAAATCCTAAATGTATCCAGGAAGAAGAGAATAAAATCACATACAAAAGATCAGGGATAAGAATATCTCTGTACTTCTTGACTTTTTTTTTTTTTAATTGTACTTCAGGTGAAGGTTTACAGAAGAAATAGTTTCACATGAAACAGTACTACACATATTGTTTTATGACATTGGTTAACAACCCCATGACATGTCAACCCTCTCCCTTCTCGACCTTTTTTTTTTTTTGGTGAAAATATACACAGCCGAAGATATACCATCTCAAAAATTTCTACATGCACAGTTCAGTGACATGGACTACGCTCTTCCAATTGTGCTGCTATTCTCACTTTAGATCAAGGTTTACAGAACAAAATAGTTTCTCATTTAACAGTTAGTACACGTTGCCCTATGAGAACGGTTAACAACCTCACAACGCATCAACACTAACCTTACTCAATGTTGGGTTCCCTATCACCAGCTTTCCTGTCCCCTTCTGCCTTCTGGCCCTTGTCCCTGGACTGCTGTGCCTCATTAGTTCCATTTGGTTTTATGGGGCTGTCCACTCCCTGGCTGAATGGTGAACCTTGGAAGTGACTTCACCACTGAGCTAAAAGGGTGTCTGGGGGCCATACTCTCAGGGTTTCTCCAGTCTCTGTCAGGCCAGTAAATCTGGTCTTTTTCGTGTGAGTTAGAATTTTCTTCTACATACTTCTCCAGCTCTGTCCAGAACCCTCTGTTGTGATCCCGGTCAGACCAGTCAGTGGTGGTAGCCGGGCACCATCTAGCTGTGCTGGACTCAGTCTGGTGGAGGCCTTGGTAGCTGTGGACAATTAGTCCTTTGGACTAGTTTTTTCTCCTTGTATCCTGTTCTCTTCATTCTCCCTTGCTCCCGAAGGGATGAGACCAGAGGGGTATCTTAGATGGCTGCTCACAGGCTTTTAAAGACCCCAGACGCTACTCACCAAGGTAGAATGTAGAACATTGTCTTTATAAACTGTGTTATGCCAACTGAGCTAGCTGTTCCCCGAGACCATGGTCCCCACAGCCCTCCGCCCAGCAATTCAGTCCCTCAGGGAGTTTGGATGTGTCTATGGAGCTTCCATGACCTTTCCTTGTACAAGTTGTACTGGTTTCCCCAGTATTGTGTACTGTCTCACCCTTCACCCAAGATACCACTTATCTATTGCCTATTTAGTATTCCTCCCCACCCCGGTAACCAACAAAGATTGTTACTTTTTGTGTGTGAACTTTTTCATGGGTTTTTACAATAGAGGTCTCAAACAATATTTGTCCCTTTGTGATTGACTTATTTCACTCAGCATAATGTCCTCCAGTTTCATCCATGTTATGAGATGGTTCACAGACTCATCATTGTTCTTTCTCATTGCACAGTACTCCACTGTGTGTATGTACCATGGTTTGTTTATCCACTCATCTGCTGATGGGCATCTAGGTTGCTTCCATCGTTTTGCTATTGTGAACAATGCTGCCATGAACATAGGTGTGAATATGTCTATTCGAGTGAGGACTCTTATTTCTCTAGGATATATTCCTAGGAGAGCGGGACTGCTGGATCGAATGGTATGTCTATTTCTAGCTTTCTGAGGAAGCGCCATATCATTTTCCAAAATGGTTGTATCATTTTGCATTCCCACCAGCAGTGCGTAAGAGTTCCGATCTCCCCGTAGCCTCTCCAACACTTGTTATTTCCAGTGTTTTTGATACGTGCCAGTAATGCCGGGGTGAGATGGTATCTCACTGTGGTTTTAATTTGCATTTCTCTAATGGCTAGTGATTCCAAGTATTTCCTCATGTGTCTGTTGGCCGCCTGAATGTCTTCTTTGGTGAAGTGTCTGTTCATTTCCTTTGCCCATTTTTTAATAGAATTATTTGTCTTTTTGTTGTAGAGGTGTTGGATTGTCTTGTAGATTATGGAGATTAAACCTTTGTCTGACTTGTACTGTCCAAAAACTTTTTTCCCAGTCTGTAGGTTCTCTTTTTACTCTTTGATGAAGTCTTTTGAAGAGCACAGGTGTTTGATTTTTAGAAGATCCCAGTTATCTAACTTATCTTCTGGGGTTTGTATGTTGATGGTTATGGTTTGTATCCTGTTAATGCCGTGTATTAAGGTCTGTAGTGATGATCCTATTTTTTCTTCTATGAACTTTATAGTTTTTGGATTTAGGTCTTTGATCCATTTTGAATTAGTTTTTGTATATGGTGTGAGGTATGGATCCTGTTTCATTTTTTTGCAGATGGATATCCAGTTTTGCCAGCACCATTTGTTAAAAAGACTGTCTTTTCCCCATTTGATGGACTTTGGGCCCTTGTCGAAGATCAGGTGACCATAGGTGGATGGACTTACATCTGGGTTCTCAATTCTGTTCCAATGGTCAATGTATCTGTCGTTGTACCAGTACCAGGCTGTTTTGACTACCGTAGCTGTATAGTAGGTTCTGAGGTCAGATAGTGTGAGTCCTCCAACTTTCTTCTTCTTCTTCAGTAGTGCTTTACTTATTCGGGGCTTCTTCCCTTTCCATATAAAGTTAATGATTAGTTTTTCCATCTCTTTGAAGAATGTTGTTGGTATTTGGATCGGGATTGCGCTGTATTTGTAAATTGCGTTGGGTAGAACTGTCATTTTCACAATGTTGAGTCTACCTATCCATGAGCATGGTATGTTTTTCCATTTATGTAGATCCCTTTGGGTTTCTTGCAGTAGTGTTTTGTAGTTTTCTCTGTATAGGTCTTTTACATCCCTGGTCAGATTTATTCCTAAGCATTTTATTTTTTTAGGGGCTATTATAAATGGTATTGTTTTCCTGATTTTTCACTGGTCTCCTTATTGGTGTATAGGAATCCAACTGGTTTTTGAATGTTTCTCTTGGATCCTGCTACTCTGCTGAATCTTTCTATTAGTTCCAGTAGATTTCTCATGGAGTCTTTAGGGTTTTCTATGCATAGTATCATATCATCTGCAAACAGGGACAGTTTAACTTCTTCATTACCAATTTGGATGCCCTTGATTTCTTTTTCTTGCCTTATTGCTGTAGCTAGAACTTCCAGCACAATGTTAAATAGGAGTGTTGATAAAGGGCATCCTTGTCTTGTTCCTGTTTTCAAGGGGAATGTTTTCAGCGTCTCTCCATTAAGAATGGTGTTGTCCACTGGTTTTGCATAGATGTCCTTTATTAGGTTGAGAAATTTCCCTTCTATACCTATTTTATTGAGTTTTTATCAGGAATGGGTGTTGGACTTTGTCGAATGCTTTTTCTGTGTCAACTGAGATGATCATGTGATTCTCTTCTTTCCTTTTATTTATGTGGTGGATTAAGTTGATTGATTTTCTAATGTTGAACCATCCTTGCACACCTGGTACGAATCTTACTTGGTCGTGGTGTATTATTTTTTTGATATGATGCTGAATTCTATTGGCTAGAATTTTGTTAAGAATTTTTGCATCTATATTCATGAGAGATACTGGTAATTTTCTTTTTTGTGGCGTCTTTGCCTGGTTTTGGTATCAGCGTTATGCTGGCTTCATAAAATGAATTTGGAAGTGTTGCTTCCTTTTCTATGCTTGGAAATAGCTTGAGTAGTACCGGTACAAGCTCTCCTGTAAATGTTTTGTAGAATTCTCCAATGAAGCCATCCGGGCCGGGGCTTTTTTTTGTTGGGAGTTTTTATTACCTTTTCGATCTCTTTTCTTGTTATGGGTCTGTTCAGATTTTCAACATCACTTTGTTGACTTCTTGACATTTTTGAGAGAAAATTATTTCCAATCTGGTTCTACATTCAGTTAGACTGTCAATCAGGCATGAGGACAGAATCAAGCCATTGTCATACACGCAAGGCCTCAAATTTGACCTCTTACGGATTTTTTCTCAGTAAACTACTAGAGGAGATGCTCCACCAGAATGAGAGAGAACATGAAGAAAGAGAACAGAGACACGGGATCCTGATATAGAATGGAACAAGAAAGGAGAGAGACAAGAGACAGTCCTAGTATGCCAGCTGAGGAAGCCTCCAGGTGACAGGTGGGCAGCAGATCTAGAGAGCAGCAGCCTAAACTGGAACAGGACGGTAGACCGTTCATAGAGGAGAACAAGAGAGCCGCGCCAAGGAGGAGACTGTGTGCCAACTAACCTGAGATGTACTGCAAGAATTAGCAAGGGGCACATATCTACTGGAACAAATGAGAGAACTAAGGCAATTATTCTAGAAAAAGCAAAAACTTATAAAGAACTCAATAAACAATATACTGACATTATGACTATACAATTATCAAATACTGTTGTAACCAAAAATTGTACTACAAGAAGAGGGAGGAATGAGGGTGAGGATGTGGGAAGGGATACTCACCTGTGCACATCTACCACAACACAAATCTAATGAATTATGGCTAAGCTTGGTAAAGAAACACAGCAGCATTAGCATGTGATCTAGAAAGAGAAGCAGAAGCTAGAAGAGCTCAGACTTGTCTCTGTGGAAAAGAACAGAGGACTGATTTTTCCTTTCAATATAAATTTGCCTTGCAGTACTATTCAACTTTTGAAAGAAAATGCATATATTGCTTAAAAAAAAAAAGCTAACATTTATTAAGAGGTGCCCATCAGTGATCTCAGTTCTTTACGTACGTTAAATAACTGAATCTTCACACCAAGCCTACGAAGTAGGTGCTGTATTTCATGCCCATGTAAAATGAGAAAACTAAGGCCCAGAGAGATTCAGTAACTTACTCAAGGTCAAACAGCTGGGAAGAGGCAGTGCCAAGACTGAACCCAAACTATATAAACTCCACAGCACATATTCATAATACAGTGTCACGATATTACACTAAATCGCCCTATCAGAAAATGAAAATTAATTTTAAAATTTGCTAGTTAAAAACATAAAGTGTTTCTAACAACTGACAGAAGAATCCCATTGAAAAATACGATTTCTGTGATCTTTAGCCAAGAGCCTGCCTAATGCCTAAGTACAATACTGAATAAAAGTCTGACATTCTGTAAAACATGACACTCAGACCTACACTCAGTGTTTGGAACGAGCGGTGCCCCTTCAGGTACGTCCCCACGGCTATGGCATTCCCCTCCTCCTGTCCTTCTACCCTGACACAAACAGCTGTTCTATACTTGGGTCTTCTTGTTTTAAGCCACTCTTTTTTGGGAAAAAGGATGGTTACATACAACAATAAAAAATGGAAATGAACAAGTAAAAAGTTCCATAAAGAATTTAAACTTGCTTATAAAAGAAAAAGTAACCAGTGGGAAACGTAGATGCTATGAGAATAACTAACGATTCAATTCATGTTAAGAAAAATGTTAAGGAACCAGTTAAAAAAGGCAGGACTATGAACAGGTAACTCACACAACAGCAAATTCAAGAAGCTAAGATTCAACCCTACTGATAATAAAGAACACACAACTGGGAATGAGATAGTATACACTGTCTCCCCTACCTGACTGGCAAAGATTAAAAGTAATTATAACAACCCTGGCAAAGCTGCAGTGAGCCGAGCACACTCATACAGTGCCTGTGGGATTATAAACTGGTACAGCCTTTCTGGAGAGAAATGACAGTGTGTGGGAAGGCATTCATGCCCTATCTATCCAAGAAATACATTAAAACGCACCACCACCACCAGTCATATTAATAAGAAGTCAGGTAGAACTTAACTGCTCCGAAACAGAATGAGGGCGGAGGAAGCCATCCTCACAGAAGTTACGATACAGCTAAGTAAAGGAAATCCTATGGTCATCAGTAACATTTTAATACGACAGAAAAATTCTTATAATAATAAATAAGTACACGATACAAAACCATGTTTATAGAAGGATCTAAATTACTTGCGAGATAAACAATCCCAAAGACCTGAAGAAAAATCAATAAAATGTTAGCAGTCATGTTCTCTGATGATAATGTAATTTTTTCTTCTTTAAAATTGCTTTTATTACCCAAATTTTCTTCAGTAAACAGGAAACAATTTTATAGGTAAAAAAGAGCAAAGCTTGTTTGTAGTGCTGTTTCACATACCTTGGTGGCTGTTACTGACGCAGCCAGATTTGTGGTTTTGGAAGAAGATCCATTAGAACTTGCTGGTGATGTTTGAGCCACTACAGATTTACTGTTCGTACTGTTTGTTCCATTAGCAGCACTGGCGGAGTGGGAGAAAGTAAATTTGAAGCCACCAGAAGACGTCCTTTTGGGGAGGTTTTCCTTGTCTTCACTTTCCTTTGCTAAAGTAAAAGTAAAATTTTGAACCTCTATCAATATATACTAACTCAAAGCATCTGAAAAGGACAATAATGTTAAAATTTATAAAACACTGCTTCTGCTTTCTAAGAGCTGAAAGAGTAGAGCATGATGTGTACAGCGACGTCTTTATTAGCTGGAATCTTAGAAATCTCACGGTTACAACGGACCTGAATAATCATCCCACAGAAGTAGCCCCCAATGCCAGAATCCCACGGGGCCGGACCTAGGGGACACTCCCAAAGACTCATCAGCTGTCTGACTGCCTTTTAATGTCTCCCTGCAGCTTCCATTCACTGACCCTCCACTTCTATACTTCTTGTAACTTCACCTCTCCCACAAATTGACATTTCAAATGTCTACAGACAATGATCATGCCTACAGTCGTTTATTCCTGGAATATTCCAGGCTCCTTTATCTGTTTCTTATATGTCTTAGGTGTCCGATCCCCTTTATTATCTGGTTGCTATTATTATTTCTATATGACTCTTAACAGTGTGGCATCCCAACTGGATGTAGTACTTCAAGTATGGCCTTACTGACTCTTCTGACAGTAGTAAGGGCAGTGGCTATGAGGAGTAACGGCAGAAGAACGTGACCATGGAGATGCCTTACTCCTTCGAACATTTTAATTGACTTATTTGCTCCCTCAGGCTCAAGCACACAGAATCTACGGCATTAACGAGTGAGGCTAGAAACAGTTTCGGGGAAAATGTAATAAATGAAACGGTACTAATGAGAACTGCCTTTGGAAAATTTCACATTCAAAATCATAGACTTATATAAAGTTCAGGAAATGTTCTTGTCTTTCAAACTATAAATTTTGATTAAATATTTAAGATGATATACGCAGGGCAATATTCCAATAATGATAATTATTCAGGCCATATATAATTAAAGAGATTAGTTCTTTTGAAAAATACTACTGAGATATTTAGTTTTACAAAACAAGTTAAACATATTTGAAAGCCAGGAGGAGAAATTTTACTTCTCTTCTCCTGACACATCTTTATGCAAATTTTATATGATCTGAAAACTCCCAAGAGCAAAGTTACTTCTCTGAGCTCGGCTTCCTCAGCTCTAAAAGGCAGTAAGCAGGGTGCTGCGGAAGCCACGGTGCCTTCAGTTGCCTCACGTGCGTGTGAAAGCTGCACGACGGACAAGGAGACCGAAGAAGAACTGATGGATGCCTCTGAATTACGGCGTTGGCAAAGAATACTGAACATATTGTGCACTACCAGAAGAACCAACGAGTCTGTCTTGGAAGAAGTAACAGCCGAATGGCCCTCAGAAGCAAGGATGGTGAGACTTCGTCTTACATACCTGGGACATGGTACCAGGAGGGACCAGTCCCTGGAGAAGGACATCATGCTTAGTACAGGGTCAGTGAAAAAGAGGAAGACCCTCAACAAGATAGACTGACACAGTGGCTGCAACAATGGGCTCAAGCATAACAACAATTTTAAGGATGGCAGAGGACGGGGCGGTGTTGCCTTCTGTCGTACCCAGGGTGGCTATGAGTCGGAATCGACTCGACAGCACCTAACAACACAAGTACTCTGGAAGGCTTCTACAGATCTACATGGTCTCTATTATTACTGGAGATTTCAGTATAGCAATAAAGCCAAGAGTATTCATTGGAAGGCAATGTGTAATTTCTAAACCACAAATGAACAGCATCACAAAATGGCAAGTTGCAAGGAAAACATTTTAAACATGTCAAGAACGTCCACGCAGATTTGGAAAAGGTGCGTAATTTTAAAAGGGCATGATTCAGTATAAGATTCGTGTCTTTCATGTCTTAAACAAAAATTCAGAATTTTAATACCTTTTTTAGTCTCCATGAATTTTTCGTAACTATCTGGAAAATCATCTTCTGGCTTAGATTTCTCCACTGGTGCCACGACTGCTTTGCCTTCCTCCTCCTCATCTTCATTAAACCACATTTCTTCGTCCTCTTCCAAGGCTTTTGCATCTCTGCGAAATCTGTTACTACGCAATATAGACGGGACACTGTAAGAGACATACCACAAACACTGAATAGTCATCTCAAGTTCACGACCAGATTCAACTTGTGGAAAAACACGTAGAACCCAGAGGCACTGAAGTAATTTCAACTGAGTATAATTTTATTATAATCATCTCAGTCATGATACAATATGTAACCAGAGAATACTCCAAAAGACTTTAGAGACTGTCGGAAACTAAACTATATTAAACTAAATTTATCTTGATTTACAATACAGGGCAGTAATTCGTCGTGTAAACGATTCAGGGGTGGGGAAAGATACCCTCACTTCCTATACAACCTTATGCTATCTAGTGATGAAAAGAAAACTCCCAAAAGATCCAAACGACAGATGATTTTGGACACAATTTTACAGGCTATAATTGCAATATACTTAAACGATACCTGTTGAGTTTCTGATTTTGTCTGTCTTTCTCTTGCTCATATTTAGTCTTCAATCCTTTGAATGTCTGAACATATTCAATCGATTCAAGTGCCTTATAAAAGTTTTCAACTATATGGGCAGTAAGAGACTTGATATCTTCCTGTATAAGCACAAAATTTACATTTCAAATATAATACGATGCTTGTTAGGAAAAAAACTTCATAATTCTAAAGCTGATCAGAAAAGGGTTTTTAAAGTCACCTTCTAAAAATATCTTAGTTTCTTTATACAGAAGCCAGGACTCCACAGAAAATGGAAAAAAGGAGAAGCAATATACTAGAGCACTTCTGGGGGACTATAAAGAATGTCTGAGGAGTAAATGGATTAGTCTGTCTTGTGTTTATTTTTTACATCTACACAGCCCTTTACAATCTAAAAAGCACTTTCCGATACAATTCCATTTGGTCCTCTCAACAATTCTGTGAGATAAGTTTTATAACCCCCATTTTACGGAAAAAGAAAATTGAGGCTCCAAGAGAGGCCTGATCAAAAGTACACAGCTGGTTACGGGCAGATGTTTAGATTGTATTTTCAACAAACATTAAACCCGTTGCCATCAAGTTGAAAACTCCGACTCATAGTGACCCTACAGGGCAGAGTAGAACTGCCCCCTTGGGTTTCCAAGGAGCGGCTGGTGGATTCGAACTGCAGACCTTTTGGTTAGCAGCCAAGCTCTTACCCACTGTGCCTCCAGGGCTCCTCAGCAACCATCAGGTGTTATTTAATGACTTCACGTTTAACTGCCATAAAATGGGATAAGCCTCGTCTAAACAAGCATAGATTTCCAGACTCTATGACATATAGTCTGATAAACTATGTGGCGTTCTATCTAGAGATAGCAATAACTTTCTCTAAATTCTTCTTCTAAAATCTAAATGAACCAATCTAATCACTGCAAATCCTTGAGTACAAGGCAGGCTCATTTTGTAAAAAAAATTAAAGCTGTAACTCAGGACTTTATAGATAATACTAGCTAATAAATACACAGAACACATTTCCAGAAGATATACTATAATCTGGTTACATTAAGGTTTTTAAGTCTCTCCAAGTTCCCTTAGACATCTCAATACAAAAATATGCAAAGAAGAAAAATCAGAAAACTAGGTAAATGGTTCTGTGTTCTATACTGAACAAAAAAGACGAGTTAAGTCTGGAATTCGATGTACATTTATCAGTCGAACAAAAGGATTTTGAGAAAAACATAGTCATGGAGATAGGAGTGGGGTTGTGAACTCTATGATTCACTCATTTCATCAGTATCTCACCAAAAATTTTCAAGGAAAAAAGTTAATCTCTGATTCATTAGAGCAGTGCACTGTGAACCTGGGTTCAGATACCTAGAGAGATGCTCGACTATGTTCCCTCTTTTCTAAGGCTAAGACTACAGACTTCAATCCTCTCTCCATCCTTCTAGAAATCATACTCTTGGCAAGTGACTGCTATTAGAAAAACAATCCAGTCAGGCCAATCAGCTGCACGTGAGGAGAGCATGTCGTCAGCAAGAAGTCTGGTCTGTAAGAACACAAAACCAGAGAAGGAGTTTCTAACTTTGACTTATTTTTTCACGTTTTCAGTCTCTGGCCATCTCTCCCATGGAACGAGGTCCGTGTGCACATACCAGGAGGCAGTAAATTTGTAACGGTTCCACAGTTGTTACCTGTCTTATCCCTGTTACTCACAAAGAGCTCTTCCAGACCTTTTTAAGATAAACCTTTTGCTCACTGAAGCTGAGTTAGGATGTACCTGCTAACTCTGACTGTGCTACTAACCAAATGGATGCTCCTGAATAAGTCACTTAATTACTTTGGTGTCTCAATTCTCTCATTTGTAAAATAAGGCAGTTGGAGCAGTGTATCAGCTTCCTGGTCTCTTCAACTTGTAATTCAACTTGAGATTCCATCCTACCTTTTATGCATTTTGTCTCCATGTGGAACAAAGGGATTCTTTTTCAACTTTTTTATTCATTTTTATTACCACCCCTACATTAAGCCACCTTTTCCTAAGACATGGCATGAACAGCAATGCCTGACTAGAATGTCCACATATGACCCATGTGATCCTGAAACACGTGGCCAACAGAAATGAAGTGAGAAGAATACAGAGTAAATATGAGTTAGAAGACTAAGCTGGACTTCACAATTTAAAATATTAACACCACTTAATGATAATCATGTGGCAAATGAACATAAAAAATACCTGATTTTTAAAATTTCAGTTTCTTGGAAATAGATTCTAAGACATGAGAAATAAACAATTTCAGAAGAGAGGAACAAAGAAATCACTTCGCTTACATCTATTTTACTTTACTAAGAATCTTTTAGTATAAACTTACCACTCTTATAAATTCAAACAACTCGACCACAGCTGAATTCAACAGATTGTACCGAGTCCCGTTATCCAGAAGAGCGTTTATAACTGGCTCAAAAAGATTTCCCTTGGTGATGTAACGGTTATAGAATTCGTCTTTCAGGCCAATTATCCGCCTCATAAAGCGAAGGGCACCTAATTAAATAGAGGGAATAAATTCATGTTCTTACTACATATTATTATATAAGTGTCTTTGCCATAAAGCAATATATATGCTCTTCTAAAATGAAAAAGCAAAAACTGTGCCATAAAAATTACTGGGCTTTGAGAATAATAAGAGTTCCCGGAAGTCCACCCAAAATCTGTGCAACTGTGTAACCAGAACTAACAAAAAAACCCCCTAAGAACTGTATCTGGGAGATAAACCAACTACCCGGCAGGCAGCTCCACGGCAGAGAGATTAAAAACACTCAAAAGCCAGAGACTGAAAATGCTGGCAGTACCAACAGCAGTGGCGCTCAGGATGAGCGGGGGCTGTCACTCAGGTGGGCACAGCAGTGGTGTGACCTGCGTGAGCTACGAATGCATTGCCTGTCTGGGGGACGGAGCTCTGGATGCAGGTGCTTCTTTTTAATTTTCTTCAAATAAAGAGAAGGGGCTCCCAACGCCAGTTTAACAGGCGAGCTAAGGGTTTACTCTTCTGATGAAAGCTGTGGTCCCACTCCCACTATCCCAGCTCCAGCTGCCTTGGAAAAACCCTCTGTGAACTAGCACTGCCTCCACATTAAACTGATGTCATCCCCTTATTTACCAACTGCGCATGAGCTATTTTGTCTCAGATAAGCAGGCACTGCGGCAGAACAGACTGTATTTGTAGAAGAGTAATGGGTAATAAGCAAGCACTAATAATTTGGCTTTTCACAATTTCAAACACTAAAAAGAAAATGTCCTTTTAACTGGTCTTTTCCCTAGCGAAGTAAGACAGTAAGAATTACTGCTATGGTTCTTACAGAACACAAAAGACTGTATTTTAATAACTTATTTTTATGTTTCTTGATCCTTGTAACCTTTCTCCTCAACAGTTTAATTTATTCCACAGATACCAATAGACAAATACATTTTTAAAACACAAGGCTCCTAATTTTATAAGTCAGTCTGCCACTTCAACCCTCTGCTGAATGGGCTGGAAGTCATTACACGAAGAAGTTATGACTTCCACAAGAGGTTCTAAATAGTATCTGAGAGTAAAATTCAAATAGGACACACAAGGCACAAATGTATGTTACTTGTAACACCAAACAAGTGTGGGAAGTGCTAGACTTGTACCATCACCTCTTCTCTGTGCAGTATAAGGAGTGGTTTCCTGAAGATGGAAAAGGCTGAAGCACTGACAAAGGCGTGAGCCAAAAGGCACCTCACACACTGCTGGTGAACAAACTGACACACACACACAGCTGGAGCTACGAGAGCATCACTTATAACAAGGAAAATCTTGGCACGATATAAACGACAATAGAAGACTGGTTCAGTTACTACAGACCCACATTAATGGGAGCACTCCAGTCATCAAAAAGGACAAAAAGAAAAAGAAGACATGGAAAAACCTATCGTGAGAACATCAATCCTTCCAATATTAATCTAACAATTTAACGTTATTCCGATCAGGAAGAACTGGAGAAAATTATTTTGAAGTTACTGCAGAAGAACAAGTGTACGAGAACAACCAAGAAAATGATGAAGAAAAGTGAGGGGGAATTTAGCAGATAAAACACCTCACAACAGAGGTACTATAATGGCGTAAGGATAAACATTCCCATTTACTTCATCTAGTGACTAGACAGCCCAGGAAAAAACACAAGTAGCTTAGTGCATAACAAAATGATACTTCAATTCAGGGGCGAAAGTATGGTTTATTTAATAAAGGTGTTGGCACACTTGGCTATCCATCTGGAAGAGAAAAAAGCTAGACCCCCATGTCATACCATATGCAAAACCAATTTTCAGATGCATTACATATGTAAGTATATAAAAAAGAAATGATTTAAGAAACTTGAGGACACTGTATAATCTCAGGGCATAGGAGACCTTCCTAAGACAAAAAACCCAAAAGCCATAAAAGGGAAAGACATTTATCAGCAGAAAGGATTTTGCTCTTTTATTAAAAACAATACCATAAATAAAATCAATGACAAACGACTAACGATGCAGGGAAATTTTTTTCAAAACTATCAGTTTTATTGTCTCTAATATCCGTAGAGTTCCTAAGAAAAAGCTAAGAGGCAATTCACGATAGACAAAACGCGACTGGCAGAAAAACACAAAAGCGGAAGACCACATTTTTCATCACCAGACCGACAGCATTTTTTTAAAGCAGTAACATTAAACGCTGGGAGAACGTGAAGTGCTTTAGTCTTTTGGGAAAGTAAGCTGATGGTTCTATGTTAAAATAAAATTTAAAAGATGAATTACAAATACGTAAGTCTTTTGTCCTGGCAGTCCTATTGTTGGGAATCTATGCTTTGGAAAGAAACAACCTAGACTTAAAAGTTTTATGTACTCGGGTATTTACCACGGTGTGGTGGTAAAAACCTGAGAACAATCTTGCAACTCATCCACCGGAGACCGGAAGAACAAAATGTGGAAGAACCACCCTAAGAAATGTTACTCAGCTGTCTCCGGGAAAAAATAAGCCACAAGGTACCGACTGACCTAAAGAAGCACTAAGAGGCTGAGAAATGTGTTACTGCGATCCTGTTCGGAAAAAAACAAAAAACCCTATATGCGCATGTGATAAATGGAACGGCTAATTTAAAAGCATTAAAAAAAAGGAGGTAGTAAGGAGATGAATCTTTTCTCTATACATTTAAATTTTAACTACAATCTTTATGGTCAGAAAAAACCCCATAAGGCGCTTTTCATTTGAAGGGAGGAGGTTTCTTTATCTCTACTTGCAGGGAAGGTTATGAAGACCAAGGGAATTTTACAGTTTGCCAAAAATCAACACTGGAGCCAACATCCTAATTTCAGTTTAATTACTATTGGTCAAGTGGTCCGAGACACTGCCCGTAAGTTATTTTGCAGGTTCACTAAATCTGAGTTACACAGAAACCCTTCAAGGCCCACATCTAAAGAATACAAAGAGCCACTGAGAAACACGTTTGTTCTATTAACGAAATGATGTCACTGCACATGGGGCTGCAGCACAAAAAAGTTATGCTGATAAAATCTAAATGTGGGCAAAACGTGGGGCTGGAACACTACACCCTAGTCCTCTCAACCTTTAAATAAAAACAGAAGATTTTAACACTTCTCACAGCCATCGTTTTTAACAACATACACAGTGCTGAAAGAAAAAAAATTCAAATGAGTAACTCTGGCTTTTATCTCTATTAAAAACATGTTCCATAAAGCATCTGACAAGAACGTTCAATTAAATCGTTACTTACACAAAGCTAGGAACGTGTGCTTCGAATTCATCAAGACCAAGACTCTTCTTAGCAAGTCTTTGTTCATAATGTAGTTTTTTATGTGATATGTGTGATGTTCCACACAAAATGTGAGTAACTCTAAAATTAAGGCAAGCAGCTGTGCTGTTTGATAATTATCTACAAAAGAAAGTCATCATGTAAAAATACACAATTCATCTAAATAAAATGTATAAAACATACATCCTACATTTCAGAGCAAAATTAAAACTGTATCTCCTGTCAATTTTCTGTCAATTAAAGAGGCTATTATAAATTTTTACTTTTTCATTAAGCAGACTTCTCCGGAAGTATTATTAGTTACACTTACTAAACAGATTATTTCTAAGGCTCTCATTTGTATAAAATATTAATAATGTTAAGAAGGAAGAAAAACTCAATTACAAAAAGTCTCCAGGTATGATCACAAAGCCCTCATGGAGGTGATATTTTTCTTGGTACTGTTTCTTTAATAAACACAGTTATTATAAGCTCCTTGATAATACCTAAGCAAAAATCAATGCAGCGATCAGCAAATGGTGTAACACAGCTTTGTATCTGATGTAGATGATGCTCCAAACAGTGCACAAGTGGCTCTAAAATGAGGGCAAACTCTTTGTTTGAGGCAGTATCTTTTACATCAAGATTTTTTTTTAACATCCAATCATTATATCCATAAGAAAAGGCCAACTGAAATAAACGAGGCTTTTCTGTCTCCCTCGAGAGGCTCTGATTTATACATTCGTGGAATGATTCTGGATTGCTTCCAGAACATCAAATTTTAATGGATGTCAAGGGCTTGCATACAGATAACCACCCACTCCTATTACATGGATGCTTTCGACAAGGAGATGTCAGACCATGAGGAAATGATGAAATCACAGCCGGGTAAAACAGGAACAATAACTAACATCACACAGTTCATCTATTTTATTTACTCAAGAAGATTACACACAACGTAGATATTTTGTGGAAATATAATGCTAGCAGGATTAAATTGACATTCTTTTCAATAACAGAATGACTATAAAATATACAAAATACAATTCTGGTATTTCAAAGATCTTTTCAGGTTTAAACGCAAGTAAAGTTTTACTTGCTCCAGACAAATCTGTAAAACAGCCAACAGTACAACCAATATCTGAATTAGTCCCTCACCATTAAAAAGTTTCTCTTAATTTCTCAATCCCCCAATTTTGTTTACAAAAGGCTGTGTAACAATGATCTACAATGCTAACTGCCTTGTTTTTACTTACCCAAATTAGGACACGAAATTCCTCATTGTATCTCTAACCAATTCAATCTCTAAACAGCCTCCTTGTTGGAAGCTGGCTGGCCTGACTGAAGAAGTTAGCTCCTGGACCTGTGATGGGCCTGGCAGAAAAGACTGCGTGCCAAGTGCACACAGAATATGTACTTTCGGTATGACCAGGCCCATACCTGGTATGTATGCTCCAAATAGAAGCAACAGTGCTTAGATCAGATTCATAAACAATATCTAAGCATAATGTTGTCATGAAGACTGGTTCCTAACTAACTGGTCTTAGTTTACTAGTTATCAATAAGAACAAACAAAATCTTCAGCTTTCAGATGTTTTCTCAAAAGAATACCTGAAAACCTAGTAGAAATTTATAGAAAAAAACAAAATTCCAACTAGATTTTCTTCTTTTCTATTGGAGAAAGTGGAATTTTTTTTTTTTAATAATGAAGAAAAACGTAAATCTATTCTTGGATTTTGCTTTTATGTTGAAAATGTGCTTTTCTTAGCCTTGTATAAATGCATACACCTTGAGTAGGAAAAAACTCATAATGTACTTTAGTTCATAAAATATGAGTTCATACTTACCTGGACAAATTGTGTTGTTTTTGTTAGATCCAACTATATTATCTAATAAAAAAAATTAAAATCAGCTGTTTCAGTGATAATATCTCATATTTCCCTAGCACATTACAATATACAAAGTACATCTTCAATCATTATCTCACTTCACCCTCATAATTACCATTAAGAGTTAGCTGCTTCCGTCAAATATTAAATCTTTCAATGAACTGGGTGTAGATGTGAAATTGTTAAAAGACAATGTAGCATAAATATTCTAATACAAAGTAAGACTACAACCAGAGATAAGACTGATGTACATTTGGGTTTTTATTTTTAAATAAAGTAAGTATAACAATATAAATAAATTCTGATTTCTAGGCACACATCCTAAGCACGTGTAGGCACATTCACACAGGAAAACATCACAAGACTGTATAATGGAGTATTGTTGGTAACAGCAAAAGACTAGAAACAACTTAAATGTACATGAGAAGTAAAATGGCTAAACTACTGCATAACCATACAAGAGAATACTACGTAGGAGGTAAAATGAGGAAGAACCCTAGGCAACAATATGGATAGATCTCAAAAACAGCACTGGATATAAAGAAAAAAACTGCAGAAGAGTGTGTATGCTCCAGTATGCCCCCACACATTCCTGACTGCACCAGCGCAGCTGTATGCTTAGCAAAGAGCCCTTTGTTTATGCCAGTGATATTTGGTACTATGATTCCATTAATTTAAATCCTACAGACTGATGACACTTAAGGGAACTGTAACATCTACGGCTAAGCTGAATATTGTAGAACTCAAAAACTTGCTGCCAAATTTTATACACAACTATGAAAACCTGGGGGGAAATACTTAAAACTCTAGTAGGGGTCTGTACTCAGATGGCTTCAAAAATACCTTTAGGTTTTCATTACACTTAAACAAACTAAGCCAGAAGTTATAGCTGATGAATTATTGGTGTAGTTTATGCAAGAAAAATACAAAAATACAATCAACAAACACATACTTTAAAAACAAAAAGCCTCATCTCTATATAAAATATTGGCAAGTGATCATGCATTTAGAAATTAAGTTAAAACATTTAAAGAATTTATCTATTTTTTTAATCTCTCTCTACTGTAACTAACTTGTGATTAATCAATCAACTCCTGATCCTGCTGCGGTGAAACAAAAGGGCTTTTACTCTGTTACCAAACTGTTGTCTACCATGACAGTTCCCTTCGAGTTTCCAATGCAGGCACTGTATTCTCTGCCTCACTCCTTCAGACAGCAATCCCACCAGCTCTGGGGGCAATCTCCTTTGCTAAGTCTCTACATCTCTCGTCCGCAGTGTATAATACTTGTTGCCATATTTTCTATATCATGCTCTCCCACAGACACAAAAACACCAGGGAAATCATGATTCTATACTGCACTTTACATTTTCAGTAGTAATTTCCCCGTCATATAAAGCAACAAATAAACAGCCTGTTAGTCATAATGTTTACTTCACCTTTCTTTAAAAATGAAAACCATAAACAGATAAATATGGGACCCTACCCTTCTCACATTTGTCTTCTGATGTATTGGCCAAAAGTGGTGCTGTGAGGACATGCATACAATGGTTGTAGAAGAAATTTAGAAATTCACTTTTTTCAGTTTTCTGAAACATACAAAATTTAAAAAAATGAACACTTTATCATCTTTGTAACTAGCAAAAGCCGTTCAAGAATTAGCAGTGTGGGTCCTACACAAACAAAAGAACCTTTAACATACTGTGAGAGAACCAAAAAACTAGTGACATTCAGCTCAACCTTATTTCTGTAGAAATGAAAATCAACTCTAGTTCAGATTACATATTAAATAAAAATAAAAGCAAGAAAAAAGTCAAATAACATTATAAAAAGTTTTTCCAAGGAAAAATATTCAAAACAATTTTTTTCACGTTTGTGATCTGAAATGCAATGAAGAACCAATCAAATAAACAACAAAATAAATGCAATTTAAAAAAAAGAACCAATTAAGCCATGTGATGGTAACTCAACTGCTTCAAAGGTGGATGCCCAGGCTTCACTGCATGCCTACCTCTGACACCAATGCATCGATTCTCAAGGCTCAGGAAGCAGGAGGAAATTTAGATCTGTTTTTTAAACTGTTATTTTTATTATTTGGAAATTTGAAAACTAATGCCTTTAAATCTTTCTGCCACTATATTCTGCACAACTAGGCCCCCAAAACTGTAATGATTTTAAAATAATATACATATTCTTTAATTCTAAGGGAATTTTATAAAGGAGAAATACCCCATCATTTTGCGATAACTACTATTAATATTCTGGAATACTTCCTTAAGTCTTTTTTTAACTTACTTTTCTATGCAGCTGGGGACATTCAGTACATACTAATTTTTAAGAACTTAACAAAAGACCATACAAAGGCCAGAGGCCATAAATTGACTTTTCCAACATTTCACTAAGACTTTTAATAGAGTATAATCTTGTATTTTGCTGCAAATGAACTGCCACAAGGATATCATGCATACAAATACTTAAGCATTTATTGTTTTTCAAAGTTTTATTATAAAACCATCTAAAACTGACTAGACCAGAACGTTTTTATCTCAGAGTAATTTCTTACATTAGTTGTAGCCAGCATGTTCTCTGGATCAATGAGAGTTCGCAGAAGTCCCATTAGTTGAACAGCGCCTCCTAGCTCAGGATCAGTGTCACAGATCATTTGTTCAATTATTACATTAATGAGAAGGATATCCTGAAAGAAAACACGTTTCCATTAGATGTAGTCTGGATATAAGACAAAACGTCAACTGAAGGAAAGAATTATATGAAGAATGGAACAGCTGATTTGAAATTTTTTCTTCCTATAGTTTTTCAAAGTTCTATAAACATACTAGAGGAAAAAAAAAAAAAACACACTCAAAAAACCAAAAAGTAGAACATGCCACAGCTTATGATATGAGCAATACAGGGAAGGAGAGAACAAACTCACCAGCAATTCTTGTTCTCTGGAGGTTCTAACAGATTCTCATGCTAGGCCTTAGCCTCAGGCATGAATTTAGAAGTTCACTAACAAGCAAGATGACACCTCGTGTGACCCCAAAACACCGATTATCTCAGCCTCTAACTACAAAATCTTTCCTAGCAAAAAAAATGAGGAAAAAATGCCCCAGTATACAACCCTCTCCAGAAGCAAGTGGGAGCACACGTGATATACAATGCTCTCATGTCAAACAGACTGTTACATTAGTAAATGCTCTTTGGTCTTGATATAAGAGCTACATATACAGAATTTATCTGCCTTCTGTTTGTATCTTTTAAGTAGAACTCCTATGCTTTTAAATAGGTCAAAATGTGATTGTCCACATCAAAGAAAAAAGCTTTGACATCAACTCACTGGATTTGAGAATATGTTTACTATTGGGGGTAGAAAGGTAACTGAAAATGGAAATGAAGTAAGGGAACTGCGTGGAATGAAGACAAATGCCTTAAGTTGGGAGAATTCTGTAAAGTAACATAAAGAAAGTCTCAGTATAAAGTACTTTTTGTTAAAGTTTATTTTGATCACTCCTAAACAATATACTGCTTTATCCAGGCATATTTCCCTGTGAAGTTGTCTGGGATCTGAAATGTAGCCACAGCTAACAGTGTCCTGAGGGAAGAACCAGGGCTTTGGAAGACAGTGGACAATATTCTTCAGAGATGAGAACCAGCCTGGCTACTTAGGCTCTCTAGGGACAAGGAAGAGGCAGCCCTGGTGGCACAGTGGTTAAAGCACCTGGCTGCTAACCAAAAGGTCGGCAGTTCAAACTTAGCCTTTTTTATTATTTTTCATGAGACTTTTCAAAACATGGTCCAATGCATTCTTCCATACTGAAGAGCAGTACTTACAGCCCAAATATCGAGGCTGCTTATGTACAACCAAACACCTCATGGTATTTGGTTCCTTGGTTTGGAGGTTTAGGGTCATGGTTTCATGGGACATCCCAGTTAATTAGCCTAATAACGTGTTTAATGCTTCTATTCTACCTCTCAGTTCACTGAGTAGTGCCTGGTGTCAAAAAGCTTACAAGTGGCCATCCAAGGCCAAACAATTGGTCTCTATTCACCTGGAGCAACAGGAAGAAGAGTCAGGAATAGGAGGAGGCAATGGAATGTGTGGCTAACTACCTCCATGAACAAACTGCCTCCTTTGCCATGAAACCAGAACTGGGTGGTGCCCGGCTACCATTATGGAACATTTTGATTAAAGATTCTAGAGACAAATCCTTATCAAAACGTGGAAAACGCAGAACAGAATTTCAAATTATCATGGACTCCAGACCTTCTGGAGTCATGGGGTCTAGATGAACCCCTGAAGCTACTGCCCTGAGATAATCTTTAAACCTTAAACCAAAAATATCCCCTGGAATCTTCTTAAAACCAAATGACAGTTTAGCTTAACTAATACAGAATGTCTGCCTTGAGCACTGTGCTCTTTTAAGAACCACCTATATGGATCAAAGTGACAACAGCAACCGAAAGATTAGACAGGAATCTTAGGGGTCAGTTATGTTAATGGGGGAGGAACCCTCCAGAAAAGGAAGGTAAGAATGGTTGCACAACTCAAAATATGTAATCAGTGTCACTGAATCGTACATGCAGAAACTGTTGAATCGTTGTATGTTCTTCTGTGTATATTCTCAACAACAAAAAATAAATTATTTTATATATATATATATATATATATATATCTCAAATCAGACTTCCACTTCTGGCCAAGATGGAGTGACAGGAACTGGATTTACCCTTCTATGTGAAACAACCCCCAAACGGATAATATACATGAAATTATGGTTGGTAAGACACTGGACATCAGCCAATGAAAGACACTAAGAGATGAGAAACAAATGAGATGAGCCCTATGATGCGTGTCAGCGTCCACTATTATTATAAGATTACTGGATTCTGCCAAACTAAATTAAACATCAACTGCTAGCATACCGCAATTAACCATGGATAGAGATCATGTTGCATAAAGAACTAGGGAACAGCAAGATATTCTTACCTCAGAGGCCGTCAGCTCAGCAAACAATTAAAATCAGTCTACTATAACACATGATTAAATTCACTCAAAAGTAATGATACTATACTTTCAGAAACAATGACCAATTAGTTTCTAAGCAATATAATCAATAGTTGAACATCACTATCAGGAACTAAGTGGTCTCAAGGCATGCTTCATTCTGAGTTAATACAGTAAAGCAAGCCTGGTGAGCAGGACTAGCAAAATCAAGACAGCCAGTCTCTCGTCACAGTACTGCCACTAACTAGCTAGCTAAGTGACTGGATGTACTCTGCATGCCTGTTTCTCCACTGGTAACACGAGGGGAATGGCCAGATCAACGAGGTGTGACCATTTTCCCAAGCTTCAAGCACCACTTCTAAGTGTCTGCTGGATTTCTTTACTGGCACTAAACACTACAAGCACAAATCAGATTTCTCTTCTTCAACTTGCTTCTCCAAACAATGGCATCACCTGGGCTAGAAAACTCATATATCAAAGCAATTCCAGCAGAAAAAGTAAGATGTAAGGCAAATTGTACTGGAACATATCTAGGCTGTCAAACAACAACTTGATCTTAAAACAAATCACTACAGAGTAACCCCAGTGAATTCATTCCAGTGAATTTTAGAGAACACCCTCATAACTTTATAGCCTTAAGAGGTCTTAATAACTTCCTTCTCATTAATGTCTGGTCATTCCTGTGGTCTCGTTTTGCTCTTTTTATTAACTGCTGCTGTAGCTTCTGCAAGTGTAACTTTCCATTCACAATCAGCCTCTAGATGCCACCATCATTTATTTACCTGCACGCTCTGTGAAAGGGTCTAAATCAGGGTCAGCAAACTACAAAACCAGCTGGTTAGCTGTACATTATTGTAAATAAAGTTTTACAGTGAAAATTTACTAGAACAGTCACATCCATGCACTTTCAAACTATTTATGGCCAGTTCATGTTACCATGGTGGAGTTAAGTAGTTGCCTGCACAAAGTCATATTTATTATCTGGCTCTCTAAGAAGTTTGTCCACCCCTATCTAAATAGTATTTAAGTGAGTTCAACCACAAATTATGGGAGACATTTCAAAGTTTTAGTAGTTTCTAAACCAAAGTTTTAGAGAAAATGAGGCTTCTGTTTGGTTTCATCATACCCTAACCTCACACCACTCTAAGAAGCATGTACTTTTATTCCTAAAGTACATTTGAGTAGGTTTAAGAACTTTGCAATACTGCCCAAATTAATTAGCAACAGCTACTGCACTGTCTTAAGAGGGAAAGCTTTAGGTGCCCGTACATGGAATTCAGATTATTTTATCCGGATTCTGAGTACCTCTATTTTCTGATGAGGAAAGATAAAGAACATACTTTATTTCACTAATTCAATGACAGATTTCTTAAAATTTAAACCTCTTGAAATTAGACTGTATCTTCCAATCACTGGCATTTTCCAGTCACCATTAGCCAAGTGGCGGTCATGACTTGGTTTTAAGAATCTTCTACTGACAGCTTCTGGTAAGATTAAGAAAGTGCCAGCATTCGTGTAGCTGAAGATTCAGTGAATACAGTAAGAAAGAGGAGAAAGAATGAAAAAATTACAAGTGCAGGAAGAATATTCTGAAATAGTAGAATAAGAATAACTGAGGAATGTCGTGAAACATTTCCCATTGTTGTTTTTAATACAAATGGAAGAATTAAGAACAAAAAGCCCATGCATAGAAAATCTGCTCACAGCAATCTGTATGGATCACAAGTATGATAATAATGATATGTATTTCTTTCAACCTATTCAGACAGGTGAGAAGAGAGCTACCACAGTTCCTCAAACTCTACAGAAGAACTTAATGTGAAATGGCAGTTCAGTTTGGGCAAAAACGTAAGCTCATCTTTAAAAACTGGCGGAATTTTATGACACACTGAAGTTAAAAAAAAAGTTAAAAAAAACAAACAAAAAAAAACCCCAAAGACAATTACTGTTGAGACGGCAACGGGTTGATCATAAGGAAACATCAGACAAAACCAAATTGTAGGATACTGGGCCAGAAACCTTTTGCTTTTGTCTTGGCTATAAAGGACATTACTGGGACAAGTGACAAAATGTGAACGAGAACTGTAGTTCGATAGTTAACTTCCTGATTTTTGTAATTATACCGTGGTTACATAGATAATTATACTGTGGTTACAGAGGGTCACTGTGAGTCGGACTTGGCAGTACCCTAACAACGAGGCAACAGTATAAGTACCTGACCTAAAATTCTCCTAAGGGCTTGAAATTACATTTTAGTAGCACTTGAAACTTGTTTTAAGACCAACACCTAAGAATCTGATTCTATTATAATCCATTGACCTCAACACTAGTTTGAGTATCTATTTTTTTTTACAATAAACGAATCAACTGTCACATATTCTGGACTTTCCAAAATTACAACTGACCAGAAAGCTATCCTTTTGCTTAAAAAAAAAAAAAAAAAACACAACAGTAAAATTATTGTTAATGCCCCTTCTCTCAATAGTTTGCAAAAACTACACCACAGACAATTCACAAAGAACTGCAGCGTCACTACTTACGTCATCACTCTGCTGGGCTTCTTGCATTACAAACTCTCGGACCATAGATGGGCTAAACTCCACAAGATAAGAAAATATATCTGTAGCAGCTGATCTGACTTGCAAATCATCCATGCCCTGGGGTGGGGGGTGGGGAAGGCAGGAGGGAGAAAAAATTAGGTTCCTCAGAGACTGTTACAGAGTTATTCTCGCATTCCCCTTTTCTTTCCCAAATCTTTGCACAACTCCTTAGATTTAAAGATTTTACTGGAATCAAAATATGTAATCTCTCTATCATTTATTCCAGTTATTAAAACTTTTAGGCAGTTCAATCAATCATTAGTTTCTACCAGTTTTATCCAAGCAAAGAGAAATATTCAGAGAATTTAAATATAAGAAATCATCACAGGATTATAAAGCAATGCTTTTAAAATTCTGGAAGTTTGGTTGTCTTTTTTCTGGGGAGGAGGAGAGGATCTTGACTTCAAATATATGCAAACATTTCAATGACCTGTCTGTCCTCATTAAAACCTCCCGGAAACTGTATTCTGCCCTGGATGCGCCCAGGTTACTCCTTGGTAACTGTGTCTATCTTCTGCGATTCTCCTAATAAATGCTTTGGGGCCTTTGTACCCTTTTCCACATCTGAGTTTTATAAGACAGTGATCATGAATGCTTTAACACATCACTCCTAAATTACCAAATCTCCAGGTGATTGGGAAAACATCCTCTAAACCAGCAATTCTCAAAGTGTGGCCCCAGGAATCCTGACAAGAAGCCTAACACCCTCTCGGGGAAGTGCGTTTAAGATTACAATTGTTTCTTAAAAATACAAACACGCTATTTACCTTTTCAGTCTCACTCTATCCAAAGTACAGTGGGGTTTTTTTTCCCAGAGGCTAGGTGACGTGATACTATAGCAGGTTCAATACAGAAGCTGCTATAAGAATCTAGGTATCATCTATTAAGCCAGACACTAAAGGGATTTGCAAAATGTAAATCATTCTCATTAAATATTTTTTGTTTTGGAAAAATTAACTTTTTATATAAGTTATTTATGTTAATATATAACGAGTTGACTACCATTTTTAAATGAATAAATATTTAAACAATTTTCTCAGTTTTAATTTTTCATACAGTAAATATCTATAGATAAAACTCCTATTAAAAAGACTGAGCGCCACTGCCCTAACCCTGCCCTGCAGCAGTGTCCTCACTGGTGCAGTCTGCTCTCACGCCACTCACTGGTCTAAGAACTAAGGACATGTTACTGGTTTCTATGAAAACACACAAAGTTGTTACAGAAGAGTTAACAGTTCTGAAAAAACAGGATTTTTATCTACTTGAAGCCATATTAAATGCAAGTGATTACGTATTAATAATATTAATTTAATAAAAATCTGAACTAAAAACATTCTTCTAGTAATTCACTGTTAGATGAGTAATAATTTACATATTATAAAATTTAATACGCATTACAAAAACAAACACTTCCCCACCCACAACATAAATCTCTTAAAAATTCACAATTTCAAAAATATGAGCAGAAACTGTATAATTACCATCACAATTTCAAGAGCAGGAAGAATCCCCAATTTCGCCAAAGTTTTGAAAAATGCATCCCTGTTTTGAGGTTGTAATGTCTGAGAAAATGCACAGAATTCCTTGAAAAAATTAACCTGTAATGTCAGAAATTATAGTGAGAAGTTGACAAACATACAGAAATAACCTTGGAGCACACTGTAATGTGATCTACGTGACAATACAGAATTCTACTGGACTTCTTTTTTTCAGGGTATCACGGCTCCCTGAAACCTACATTAAAGAACACATTATGAGCTAGCACCTCATTAAAAGTACACACTGGATTGTTCCTCAATCACCAACCAATTAATTTCCTAAGGAAATTACACTGTATATATCATACTTGGAGCCTCGGGGTAGCTTCATATACGCTACTTGCGATTTAAGATAAAGCTCCAAAAGTGCCATGTAAGGCATTTGTTTGGAAAGAGCAGGTATTTTCACAGAAACCATGCTATAATAAACTGTGGCTGGGTTCCCAGGGAGCCCTCAAATAATGATTCAATTTTAAGAACTGGAAAAGACATTAGAAATCTCCGACTCTAAAACACTAATTTTACAAATGAGAGAACTGAGTAGGCTATTAATAAATAAATAACCACATCTACACATGATGGACGACTTTAAGTCAGCAATCTTTCATTACTTCTTAAAACCCCAAATATCTGATTATAATGTTTGAAAAAATGGCAAGCAGCTGAAAAACAGCAATCACTTTCCCTTTGGCTTACGTTTCAAAAAAAGGACTTACAAACACATTTAAAAACAATCCAACAAAATTTCCAAAGAACCAGATTATCTGTCATTGATTCATTAAGAAGTATTCTCCTTACCTCTTGTTTAAAAAGAAAGTATCTCTATAATGTGAGTACCTACAACCATAAAAATGTGTATGTTCGCAGTTTTCTCCTAACATAAACTGCTTATTTGACTGTGGGATTTGTAAGGCATATGAATTCATTCGCTAGGGGAAAGAAAAAAACACATCATAATATCTTTGAGTTTTCTAAAATACAGAAGACAATAAATTTAGAAACTTTGAGATTATTTTTAAGTTTAATTTAAATATGTATCTTTCATCTCGTATTAATTATTTAAAAGAACCCTCTTAAGAGAAGTTAACAAACTCAATATTAGAAGTTGTGCACGCCAAACTCAACAACAAAAACACAAACAATCCAACTAAAAAATGGGCAGAGGACATGAACTGACACCTTACCAAAGAAGACAATCAAGCAGCCAACAAACACAGAAAAGATTACCGTAATCATTAGCCTTCAGAGAGATCTGAATCAAAACTACAATGAGATACCATCTTACCCTAGCAAAAATGGCATTGATCAAAAAAAACCCCCAGAAACAAATGCCGACAAGGATGCGGGGAGACTGGAACCCTTATGCACTGCTTGTGGGATTGTCAAATGATACAACCACTACAGAAAATGGTATGGTACTTCCCCAAAAAGCTAGAAATAGAAATACCTTATGATCCAGCAATCCCACTTCTGGGTATATACCCTAGAGATCTAATAAAAGAGACACAGACAGACATACGGACACCTATGTTCACTGCGGCATTATTCACAATAGCAAATACAAACAACCTAAATGCCCATCAACAATAAATGGATAAACAAAATGTGGTACATACATACAATGGAATATTAGGCTGCCATAAAGAAAAATGATGAGTCCTCGAAACATAACGTGGGTGAATCACAAGGACATCAAGCTAAGTGACATAAGTCAATCACAAAAGGACAATGCTCTCACTTTTATAAGACAAGAATAGATATATATACAGAGAACCAATGCTCACTGCTAGTTACCAGCGATGGGTGGGTGGCGGGGGAGGGAAGCACTTTCCAGATAGTAGACACTTGTTATTTTTGGTGATGGGAAAGGGAGCCATTAAATGTGGGTGAAGTGCACACAGCTTGACCAAGGTAAACTCTGTCGCTAAGAAGTGTACAAGAGAAAAGGACATTTTTGGTAAAGAATATGACAAATATAATTGTGCAACACCACCGACAACAGAAAAATGTGTGCAGTTACACAAATATGTATATAGGCATGTGCAAGTATGTGTATAAATATGTGGGTACATATATGTGCACAGATAGATGTATCTACAGGCATATGTACATACAGATATGTGTGTGCATGCATGTATATCCATACACATAATAAACCAACACAGGAGACATGGTTATGGATACTTCTTAGACATAACCAAATATCTTGTGAGCTTGGTTTTCTGGATTTGAAGGCACAGGACCTTAGTCTTGTGGGACAAGTCAGTTAAATGGCGTTAATATAGTTCATAAAGTGTACGTTCTATATCCCATTGTGGTGAGTAGAGTCTGCGGTCTTAAAAGCTTCCAAGTGGCTGTCTAAGACACATCTAGTGGTCTCTACTCGTCCGTAACAAAAGAGAAAGAAGGAAACCAAAGACTCAGAGAAGAAAGTAGTCTACAGGGCTTATAGTCTATACGATTACGGCCCCATCTACCCCGAGACAAAAACTTAATGGTGCCCAGCTACCACTACCTACTGTTCTGATCAGGCCCACAATAGATGGATCCTTATAGAAAGGGAGAAAATGTGGAAAAGAACTCAAATTCTTACAAAGTACAGACTTACTGGACCAGTTGAGACTAGAGAACTCCCTGAGACTATCGTAAATCTTAAACCAAAATTATCCCTTGAGGTCACCTGTTAGCTAAATACTACACTGGCTCATAAAGAATATCACCTGTGAGTAATGAGCTCCTTTAAAAAATCATCTATATGAGACCATATAAGACCAAATGGTTACAAATTACTCTAAAGCAAAGCTGAGAAGGTAAGGAGGCAGGGAAACTAGAGTACTGGAAATGGTACAACTCAAACAGGATGAATGAGAAAGATGACACACTGTGAAAAATGTAACCAATATCACTGAATAATTTGTGCAGAAATTGTGAGACGAGAATCTAATTTGCCGTGTGAACTTTCACCTTAAACACAATAAAATACTATTTAAAAAAATAAAAGCTGTACATGCCAAAAGAATAAGTGCTTTTAAGGGTCTGAATTTTTAAGAATAAATAAATTACCAATTCACGCCGTTTATCATCATCTGTAGCCTCATCTGTTAACTGTGCAAAAACTTCAGACAAAAACTTCTCATCTTCCTGCATGAGAAAAGGTAGTTACTATGAAGTATTAATGAAAACATAAGATTACATTCATTTATGTGATTTACACAAACTATAATGTAGTTGAAAACCCAACAGCATTTTAATTATGAAACCTAAAATTCCAGGGTATATTCATGTTACAATTTTTCAAAACTTGAATACACCACTCAATTTTAGTTATAAATACATTTCACCTCACTGAACCATAAACCTCAACTATAAAATTCTCTTAGAAAAGCAAAAAATATGTTAGAGATCATGCATGAAAACTCATTTACTTAACTTTGAGAGCCAACTATTAACTCTAAACTTAAACACAATGCAAACAAATTTGAAGATCTCATTGTCAATTCACAGCCAATGAGAAAAACGAGGAGAAGAGTTACAAGAGGTGGCACAGGTACAGTAGAAAGGAGGCTGAACTCTGGCAGCAGATGATTACAAAACCCAAGAACTCATGAAATATAACCTAGGGCCACTGTGCTCCCCAAGCATATAATTAACTACATGACAAAAACCGCTTTTCATTCGGCTGACTCTGAGGTATTATAAGATCCAAAAACACAACCCTAAACCCACTGCCGTCAAGTCGATTCCAACTCAAAGCAACCCAACCCTACAGGACAGGGCAGAACTGCCCTATATGGCTTCTACTGCTGTAATCTTTACGGAAGCAGATTGCCACATTTTTCTCCCTTGGAGTGGCTGGTGGGTTCAAATTGAGGACCTTCTCGTTAGCACCCGAGCACTTAATAAATGTTAATTTTCCTAAGCATTGTTTAAAAGGAGAAACGGAAAAATATAACAGTTACATACTGCATTTTATTTTTTAATATAAATTTTACATATAAACTAGAAGGGATATACATTAAAATGTTACTTGTGGTTATCTTTTGGTGATGAATTACAATTTTGTTGCTTACTATATTTTCTAATTTTCTACAGTGAGCATGGACTATTAAATGACAAACCAAAAAACTGATACAAATATTGAAATTCATTTTAGAGATTTCCATCAAAACCTAATAAAACTGTTAGTGCTTTTAAGCTTATCTTCAAAATTTACTTTTATGAAATACAATTTCCATTGATTTTAATTAAAATAGCATGCTCTATAAATATTTACAGTAGTAATGCCTGTATGTTTGATGGAAAACCAAACCATAGCATGCGAAGGATATACGCCAGACACCTGCACTTTTTCTTACTGTGGATCATCCATGAAGTGACATCAATCCCTTAAATTCTTTCTGAAATAAGGTGAAGTATATATGAAAAAGCGAATGAATGAAAAACACTAGGTACCATTATGGAGAATGTAACACGCTCTCCCACTAAATACCAACTCATGCTACTCAAAGACAAACACGGAGCCGGGCAAAGCCTCTCCTCAGTCTGACTCAGAACACTTCCGTTGACTTCTTTGGACCCTGCCCACGGCAGCCTGAATCATCTCTCTTCTGAAGGAGTTCAAATGCATATGTAATCCTTTACTTACCCCTGAAATCAACTTTTTCCAAACACATTTAGTCTCAGTATTTTAGGTTTTGGTGAATAAGTACAATTTACCTCCATTTACACCTTTTATGAATTTTTATCTTCCTGAATCTCTCCCAGAGTAATCTTTCTCCTT